TCTCTTCATAGCCTGTGCCCATTTTTTTGATCAGATTGTTTGGTTTTTTTGTTCTTGAGATGTATGAGTTCTTTATATATTTTGGAAAGTAATCCCTTGTCGGATATGTGATTTGCAAATATTTTCTCCCAGTTGATGGGTTGTCTTTCATTTTATTCATGTGTCCTTTGTCTTGCAGAAGCTTTTTAGTCTGTTGTAGTCCCATTTTTAAATTTTTTCTTTTGCTTCCCTTGCCTGAGTAGACATGATATTCAAAAAGATGCTGCTAAGACTGATGTCAGGGAGTGTACTGCCTATATTTTCTTCTAGGAGTTTTATGGTTTCAGGTCTTACATTCAAGTCCGTAATCCATTTTGAGTTAATTTTTGTGTACAGTGTAAGATAATGGTCTGCTTTCATTCTTTTGCATGGAAGACTTAACTTTTTTAAAAACTTTAATGTTTAACATGTGATTTAATAATCTGATTGTCTTTAAAATTTTCTGTCTGTAATTGGATGTAAATATTTTGGCATATCCTGAAGCAATTTGGAAAGGGATATATTTAAAAGAATACTGTGTGATTTTTGTCACCCAAGTATGCCCAGTTGATGGCACTATTCCATTTATGTGAAGAAACGTCAGTGAAAATTCATGAAAAACATAGGTTCAAATTTTTAGCTTGTCTGATATGCTAAGTCATATGTCATGAAGAATTTTTCTGTTCACAAAATATGATGACATAAGCTTTAATTAATATTTATAGAACATTTATTTTATAATCTTTTTACTCACAGCACTGGTATTATATTTTTCATATCTGATGGATTTAAGAAATGGATTTTAATATCTGAGGATTTTCACTTCATAGCTTAGTGGTTAAGAGCTCATGACTCTAAATCCTGGCTGGGCCACTTACTGTCTGTGTAATCCTGGGCAAGTTACTTAATCTCCATTTTCCCATCCATAAAATTGGGTTAACAATAGGGACTCACTCTTAAGAGTTGTTATGTGGATCAAGTGAAATAATGTATAGAAGGTGTATTATGCAGACTCTGGCACATAGTAGACTTTTAATCAGTGCTAGTTATCATTATCCTTGTTGTTTTCACTCAGCAAGATAGGTCTTCAGATACTTACAAACTTTAATCTCTAATTTTAACCTATATTCTTACACTTAAAAAAAAATTAGCTTCTATGTGCCACTTCTTCTCCATCTTTGAAATGGAAATATGGCTCCATCACAAGGGATCTATGTATTTTAAAATAATTTTGTGAACAATAATTGATGTTTGCCAATTTCTTTGAAGATGGACAGGATTAAGTGCTATATAATCATTACTGTTATTAATTCTATCTAGGGATAGGGTATTTGAGGAAAAGGACCATAAATTGATCCATCCACACACTAATTGTGATGATTAGTTTCCTATTCCACTTCATGCTTTTTTAAAACAGTCATTCTCTTGTTTCATCGTATGGTGTCTCTTGATCCAAATAAGCATTTAAGGTCATGACCTAAAAAGTGGTCATCTGTGAGATTTGAGACTGAAAATCAGGCCTCAAGAGGAAATGATACAAAAATGGAAAGAAATTGTAGTGCATCATCGGGCTGGATATTTTTAGGTAGAGACTCATTAGTAACTTTACTAACTGACTCAGCTTACCAAATCGTTCAAGGAACTGGAGGAATGGAAGGAAATCAATCAAGCTTTATTGATTAAGACAATTGATTGGCCTTCTCCAATATTACTTCAAAGCCATTATAACAGAATCTTGTTTAAAATTGAAGACTGTCTATAATCTTACCATGCTTTTTGATGTTTTAAAATTCAGCCAACATCTGCTGAGCACCTCTTACCAGGAGCAAAACCTCATTCCCAAGACTGTGTGGAAACTGTTATCCTCATGGAGCTTGTGGTCTGCTTTCAGGGGAAATGTGGAAAGAATTACCACTTCTACAGGGCAGACTGAGAGAAGTGCTATAAAAAATGTAGTTCCAATATGTTGGCACATATGTGGAAGAACCATTGATTTTAACTGGAAGGGTTTAGGAAGGCTTTCAAGTAAAAGATGACAGTCAAACCAAGCCTTAAAGGTGGAGTAGAATTTGAGGCAAAGGATTGTTCAGTAGTTATCTTAGGCCATGAAAACAATGTGAGTAAAGGTAAAAAGATGTGTATGTATAGGAAATAGCAAGCAGTGCCCAATGGCTGAAGCAAAGGACTACTGGACTGGTGAGTGAGAATCAAAGACAGAAAAGGCAGTTTGGAAACAAATCTTCAAAGGACTTTGAATTATGTCATGGAGTTGGGTTTTGTTAAGTAGACAGTGGGAAGCTAATGGACATTTTGGGGGAGGAGAGGAAGTTTATTTGACCCAAGTTCTGGAAGGTACCTTTACTAGCAAAGGACTGGGGAGGGGAGAGATTCTAGGCAAGGAAACCAGTTATAATGATGAAGAATTCCAAGTTATGAGAATATTATGTACCAGACATTGATATGTTAATTATGATTATTATATTAATTAATATGATTATTATACTAACATATTAATGATATAGGTGCTTTATAGAATTCACTTGTTTAATTTTTACAACTACCCCAAAGTGTAAGTAGTATAATCTTTGTTGTAGAGTTTAGACATTGGAGGGTTAGAAAGATTAATTACTCAGGGTCTTGTAGGTCATAGGTGGAGTCCAGTGGAGTGGGGCTGGGAATAAGGTGTTGGAAAAAAATATTTGAATTCCTAGTGACTGAATATGGGAGTTAAGAGAGAAAGAGAGAAGGAGAAATTGAAGATGACTCCTATTTGGGTAGCATTAATCAAGATAGGAAGCACAGTCAGATAAGTTTGGGATTAGTAAATGTTGAATTCTACTTCGAAAGGCTGGATTTGACATGTTGGCAGGACAAGCCAGGAGGAAATGTGGAGCTCGTTATTGGGAATAGAAGTGTGGAGGTGAAAGTAGTGTGGGAGTAATCAGAGTGTCGGCGAGAGGTGAGCCTTGTGAGAGGGTGTAGAACAAGGAGAAGCTGACGAGAGAGCAGTGTCCCTCTGAGAATGGAGAGGAGAGCTGGAGAAGGAGGATCAGAAAGGTTTGGGGAAGCCGGAACATGAAAGAGTCGTGGACTAGCAGCCAAGGTGGAGAGACCTTCAGAAATAGTGGGTGGAAACCGGGCATATACTGCACCAGAGAGGGGAGGGGGTGGGGACTTTCGCTTTATTTGGTAAGTAGAGGTCCATGGGTAGTTTTTAAAAAACAGGAACAATTTCAGTGGAGTGGAATGATCAAGAGCTGAATGTCAGAGACTGAGAATCTGATGGACTGCCAGGGACCAAGGGAATTTTTTATTAGGATGAGGGGAGTCCTTAAGCTGAAGGAAAACAGCAGTGGAGAGATTTTCTTAAAAAAAGTGGAGGATAGTTTATTGGCTCTTGTTCCAAAGTGAAATGAAAAGAGATCAGAAGACAGATAGTCTGGCAAAGGAAAGGAGTAAGGATTTTTTGTTCTATGGCAGAAGAGAAACAAGAAAAAAATAGATGGATGTATCAAGAAAAAGTGAGACTTTAATAGAGAAAAGTTGAGAAAGTTATTTTCTGATAATCTGTGTCTCAGGCCTTCTTTACTATGTTGCGTGTTCCGCAGAACCATGGGCTCCTCCCTCAGACATTCGTCACACTTCCAGTGACTCGTTCAGCATCTGGTTTCACCGCAGAGCTCAGTCTGCTCTGAAGAGCTGGTCAGCAGGTCAGTCTTGTTCTGCTGAGCGTCCAGTTCGTGGAAAGAACTGCATGCCTGGCGCGTGGGCAACGCTCAGAAGAGACTGGATGTGTCAGTACTTGATGGTGTCCTAGACTTTCTCTCTCTCTGCAGTGTTGAAAAATGCCTGACATACAGTAAACACTTGACAGATACTTGCTAAATGAATGAGTCTTCTCAGTGAAATAGGAAATGAGTTCATTTATTGAGATGATGACAACTGAAACAATTTGGAGTTCTACCTGTGTGCTAGGCACTACATTAAGTACTTATATGCTAGCTGCTGTAACAAATAACTACAGTTTCAGTGATTTACACAAAGTTTCTTTCGTACTCACTAACACTATAAAATGGCTGCTCATGGTGGACAGGCAGCTCTCCTCTGTTCAGAGACTGAGGCTCCTTCCGTCTTCCAGCTCCACCATCTCCTAGGCCGTCGCCTACAAATGGGAGAAGAAGATGAGAATGAGGCATGTGGCCTCACAGAGATGCAACGAGGTTAGGAAGGCACTTGCTAGGGAGCTGTGTGTTAATGGAAATGGGAACATGAGATTTGGTGGACTCTTAGTCGTCTCTTCCACACACGAGTTCCCATTTACAGTAACCCTATGAAGGAGGCACTGTTATTATCCCCACTTTATAGATAAGACTACTGAGGCTTAGACCTGTCTAGAAACAATCATTTCTGAGCTGAGATTTAAACTCAGGTCCATCTGACTCGTAGGCTCTGTTCTTATCCTTTAGACCTGTGTTTCTCAAGTGGAGGTCGTTTTGTCCCCAAGGGACAGGAGACATTTGGCAATGTCTGTAGACATTTTGGGGGGGGGGGAGGTACACTGACATCTAGTGGGTAGAGTCCAGGGATGCTGCTAAAAATCCTAGAATGCATAGAACCACCCCCCGCCCCCAAACATGTACATACAAAGCAAAAAGTTATCAGGCGTCAAATGTCAATAGTGGCAAGGTTGAGAAATTCTGCAGTAGGCTGCACTCCGCCCATGATGGTAAAGATGTCATGGAAGGAAAGGAGGAGTGGCTGCTGCCAGGACTCAGCAGAGTGCTAGTTATGAAAGGATATAAACGACTAGTGAATAGCAGAAAGGTGCTGGTGGTATTGGATGCGGAAGAAGGTAAATGGTTCTATTATTTTTCTATCAGCTACTTGGCATTTCTGGGACTTGATAGTATTTTTAAAGAAGTAAGTGATCTGTACTTTACTGGGTGAAAATATCCTTTAAACCATTTTGTTTCTGAACTCAGGCAGACAAGACTCGTCCTTTTATCACGTCCAGTCCTACAAATGGGGCCGAATCCGTGGCAGAAGGCTGGGTCTCTCACAACCCTTATGACAAGCATTTTGGTGACGTACATTTTTACGACTATATCAGTGATTGCTGGAATTGGAAAATTTTCCCCAAAGCTCGATTTGTGTCTGAATATGGATATCAGTCCTGGCCTTCCTTCAGTACATTAGAAAAGGTAAGCCATCTTTGATTTCCCAATGATTCAGAACAGTAGACTATGGGCATATGCCACTTCCTCAACTGTGGTTCAGCAAGTCAAACGAAATCTACTTATTTAAATGAAAGTTTAGAAAGAAGATGATAGAAGAGAACTTTATTTTCTTTAACCTTTGGGGAACTAAACTTGTAGTCATCATTTTTGGGATTATAACTTTTTTATATTGCTTTTAATTATGTTCCTTTAGGAGCATTTAAAAATTAAACAGGAGCCAGTGGTTGCTTAAGCCTGACTTAGTATCACACACGAAAATAACTCTCACTTGCTACTTTCTGTATATCTTACAACTGCTTTATCATTTACGGATATTTAGAACTGGATAGTTTGCTACAGTAAGAAAAACGACTGTGATAAATAAACCTTTGTTGAGTGTTTTGTGTCCCATAACTCCTTTTCTCTCTTCCTCCTTCTCGCTCTCCTCCTCCTCCTTCGTGTTGGTGTATTTGCTTCTCAGTATGGCATTTCACGTTCTTTATTCCTAAAGATTTGGTTTCATACATGGATTTGGTTTCAGAGTTTTATTTGTGCTTTTCTGTAACAGCTTTCTTGAGATAAAGTTCACTGACCATATAATGTACCCACTTTGTGTGTACAGTCAGTATATTTGCAGAGTCGTGCAGCTATCACCATGATCGAAGTTTAGAACGTTTTCGTCACCCCGAAGAAACTCTATACCCCTTAGCAGTCCCTCCCCACTCTCTCTATCCCGCCTACCCCTGCTCTAGGTGCTACTAATCTGCTTTGTGTGTTGATATATTTGCCTGTTCTGCATATTTCATATAATTGGAATCATAAAATATGTGATCTTTTGAGACTGGCTTCTTTCATTCAGCATGAAGTTGTCAAGGTCCATCCATGTTGCATCGTGTATGAGTGTGTCATTCTTTTTCATTGCTGAATAATATTCTACTTTATGGGTATATGGCTTTTGTTTATCATTCATCAGTTGATGTACATTCGTGTTATACCCCCTTTTTGACTAGCATGAATAATGCTGCCATGAACATTTGCATACGTGTTTTTGTGTGAACATATGCTTTCAATTCTGTTAAGTATATATCTAGGAGTAGAGTTGCTGGGTCATATGGTAACTGCTTAACATTCTGAGGAACTGGCAGACTATTTTCTATAGTGGCTGCACTGTTTTACATTCCCACCAGCAATGTATGAGGGTTGCAGTTTCTCCACATCCTCACCAACACTTGTTATTTCCCATTTTTGGTATTTTTTTACATTTCCCTGGAAATTTGCATTTCTTTGATGGCTAAACACGTTGAACACCTTTTCGTGTGCTTGTCCACCATTTGTATTTCTTTGGAGAAATGTCTATTCAAATCCTTTGCCCATTTTTTGACTCAGTTATTTGTCTTTTTATTATTGGGTTGTAAGAGTTGTTTCTATACATATTCTGGATATGTTTTTTATCAGATATATGATTCGCAAATATTTTCTCCCAATTTGTGGGGTGTCTTTTTAGTTACCTGATAGTGTCATTTAAAGCACAAAAATTTTTAATTTTGATGAAGTCCTTCTTATCAATCTTCTCTTTGATCTCTTGTGCTTTTATGGTTGTATCCAAGAAACCATTGCCTCACCTAAGATCACAAAGCTTTACTCCAGTGTTGTATTCTAGCTTAGCTCTTACATTTGGGTCTGTGATCTATGTTTTTTTAATTTATTTTTTTAATTGCAGTAACATTGGATTATAACATTATATAGCTTTCAGATGTATATTGTAATATGTTTTGAATTCTGTGTAGATTCATCATGTTCACCACCCAAAAACTAATTATAGTCCATCCCCTGACATGGGAGCCTAATCACCCCTTTTGCCCTCCCCCCTTCCCCTATGGTAACCACCAATCCAATCTCCATTGCTATGTGTTTGTTTGTTGTTTTTATCTTCTACTTATGAGTGAGATCATACGGTATTCGACTTTCTCCCTCTGACTTATTTCACTTAGCATAATACCCTCAAGGACCATCCATGTTGTCGCAGATGGCCAGATTTTATCATTTCTTATGGCTGAGCAGTATTCCATTGTGTATATACACCATATCTTCTTTTTATTTATTTATTTATTTTTTCTGCTTTTTCTCCCCGAATCCCCCAGTACATAGTTGTATATTTTAGTTGTGGGTCCCTCTAGTTGTGGCATGTGGGATGCCACCTCAACGTGGCCTGATGAGCAGTGCCATATCCACGCCCAGGATCCAAACCAGCAAAACCCTGGGCTGCTGAAGCAGAGTACGCAAACTCAACCACTTGGCCATGGGGCCGGCCCCTGTTTTCTTCTTTTTCTATTTTTTTTTTTTTTTTGAGGAAGATTAGCCCTGAGCTAACTGCTGCTGATCCTCCTCTTTTCGCTCAGGAAGACTAGCCCTCAGCTAATATCCATGCCCATCTTCCTCTGCTTTATATGTAGAATGCCTACCACAGCATGGCTTGCCAAGCGATCCCATGTCTGCACCTGTGATCTGAACTGGTGAACCACAGGCCGCCGAAGCGGAACCTACACACTTAACTGCTGCGCCACCGGGCTGGCCCCTATGCCACATCTTCTTTATCCGTTCGTCCCTTGATGGGCACCTAGGTTGCTTCCAAGTCTTGGCTATTGTGAATAATGCTGCAGTGAACATTGGGGTGCATGTATCTTTACGCATTTGTGTTTTTAAGTTCTTTGGATAAATACCCAGCAGGGGAATAGCTGGATCATATGGTAGTTCTATTCATAATTTTCTGAGGATACTCCATACTGCTTTCCATAGTGGCTGCACCAGTTTGCACTCCCACCAGCAGTGTACGAGGGTTCCCTTCTCTCCACACCCTCTCCAACATTTGTTGTTTCCTGTGTTATTAATTACAGACATTCTGACTGCAGTGAGGTGATATCTCATTGTAGTTTTGATTTGCATTTCCCTGATAGCTAATGATGTTGAGCATCGTTTCATATGCCTGTTGGCCACCCGTATATCTTCTTTGGAGAAATCTCTATTCAGATCTTTTGCCCATTTTTTAATTGGGTTGTTGGTTTTTTTCTTGTTGAGATGTATGAGTTCTTTGTATAATTTGGGTATTAACCCCTTATCTGATATGTGGTTTGCAAACATCTTCTCCCAATTGTTAGGTTGTCTTTTCATTTTGTTGATGGATTCCTTTGTTGTGCAGAAGCTTTTTAGTTTCATGTAGTCCCATTTGTTCATTTTTTCTTTTGTTTCCCTTGCCTGATCAGACATGGGACTTGAAAATATGCTGCTAAGACCGATGTCAAAGAGTGTACTGCCTATGTATTCTTCTAGAATTTTCATGCTTTCGAGTCTTACATTCAAGTCTTTAATCCATTTGGAGTTGATTTTCTGTATGGTGTAAGGGAATGGTCTACTTTCATTCTTTTGCATGAGGCTGTTCAGTTTTCCCAACACCATTTATTGAAAAGACTTTCCATTCTCCATTGTATGCTCTCAGCTCCCTTGTGGAATATTAGCTGTCCATAAATGTGTGGGTTTATTTCTGGGCTCTCGATTCTGTTCCATTGATCTGTGTGTCTGTTTTTGTGCCAGTACCATGCCGTTTTGGTTATTATGGCTTTGTAGTATATTTTGAAATCAGGCAGTATGATACCTCCAGGTTTGTTCTTTTTTCTCAGGAATCCTTTGGCTATTCAGGGTCTTTTGTTGTTCCATATACATTTTAGGATTCTTTGTTCTATTTCTGTGAAAAATGTTGTTGGAACTTTGATAGGGATTGCATTGAATCTATAGATTGCTTTAGGAAGTATGGACGTTTTAACTACGTTAGTTCTTCCAATGCAAGAGCATGAAATATCTTTCCATTTCTTTGCATCTTCTTCAGTTTCTTTCAACAATGTTTTATAGTTTTCTGTGTACAGACCTTTCACCTCGTTGGTTAAGTTTATTCCTAGGTATTTTATTCTTTTTGTTGCAATTGTAAATGGGATTGTATTCTTATTTTCCCTTTCTGATACTTCGTCGTTAGTGTGTAGATATGCAACCAATTTTTGTATGTTGATTTTGTATCCTGCAACTTGACTGTATTCATTTACTATTTCTAAAAGTTTTTTAGTGGATTCTTTAGGGTTTTCTATATATAAAATCATGTCGTCTGCAATGAGTGACAATTTCACTTCTTCTTTTCCAATGTGGATTCCTTTTATTTCTTTTTCTTGCCTGATTGCTCTGGCTAGGACTTCCAATACTATGTTAAATAAGAGTGATGAAAATGGGCATCCTTGTCTTCTTCCTGTTCTTAGAGGGATAGCTTTCAGTTTTCCTCCGTTGAGCATGATATCTGCTGTGGCTTTGTCATATATGGCTTTTATTATGTTGAGGTATTTTCCTTCTATACCCATTTTATTTAGAGTTTTTATCATAAATGGATGCTGTATCTTGTCGAATGCTTTCTCTGCATCTATTGAGATGATCATGTGATTTTTATTCTTCATTTTGTTAATGTGGTGTATCACGTTGATAGATTTGCGGATGTTGAACCATCCCTGCATCCCTGGAATGAAACCCATTTGATCATGATGTATGATCTTTTTAATGTATTATTGTGTTTGATTTGCTAGCATTTTGTTGAGGATTTTTGCATCAATGTTCATCAGTGATTTTTGCCTATAATTTTCTTTTTTTGTGTTGTCCTTGTCTGGTTTTGGTAGCAGGATAATGTTGGCTTCTTAGAATGAGTTAGGAAGCCTTCCCTCCTCTTCAATTTTTTGGAAGAGTTTGAGGATAGGTATTAAATCTTCTTTGAATGTTTGGTAGAATTCACCAGGGAATCCATCTGGGTCCTGGACTTTTACTTTTTGGGAGGTTTTTGATTGCTGTTTCGATCTCCTTACTAGTGATTGATCTGTTCAAATTCTCTACTTCTTCTTGGTCCAGTTTTGAAACGTTGTATGTTTCTAAGAATTTATCCTTTTCTTCTAGATTATCCA